CAGGACAAATATGGAGTGTGCGTAACGGGACCCTTATTGGACAAAAAAATTGGAATCTCGCACAAGACAAGCCTCTCGCCACTGAACTGCCTGGGACAACCAAGTTTCAAGCTATAATACCCTGAAGTTGAAGCTGATAGTTGGGCCACGGCTTTAAGCGAGGCGAAGAAGGGCCGGGATACGAACGCGAATGTGCACCTCAAAGTCGCGAAAATGTGAGATCTCATAATATTTCACGTAACTATTCTCTATATCGGAGCCCTATTGTACTTGTAACCCTATCTCCCCATCTGAAGCCTTTTCTTTTTCCAGCATTGCCCTTGCCTTCGTCAAAACTCTATATTCACCTCGACCAGCTATTTAAATTCTCTTCTTAACTTCTTCCCATCTTCACCGAATTCGAGACCGGCTGCAATCCATTCCCAACAAGATGGAAATTCAGGAAGCCACGTTTGCACCTGTGTGCATGCTAGTACGAGAACGCAAGGTGATAAATCTGCACGACACCACCTACCTCTGCTTGGAGAACAGCACAGAAACCGAGGGTCATCTGCTCAGAGGCAGGAGACCGTCCATCACCATTCGTCCCGTTGTTGAGGTGCACTCACTGCCACATTTCCCTGTTTCTCAGTTATTGATTTTTTTGATTGATTTTCTAGTTTCGCTGTTTCCAGGAGATCTCTCATCACCATGTGCCTAGCTCTTGAGATGCACTTGCAAGCCACAAGGTTTCGATTATGATTCTGTTTTTTTTTTACCTCTGTTCCCGTTTGTACTTGTTACCTTCTCTTCCCAATTTTCTTCTTTCCAAGTTTCACTTGAATTTCCAGCCTTTCCCCTACCTCTACGTCTCTCCATTCTACCATTCTTTTGTACCTCGTAAACAAATGATGCTTATCAGCCTCAATCACCCTCTTGCGTCCTTCTTGCCTATGCTTGCAGGTGTTTTTACGGGGCAATGTTACAAAAGACCCAGACATTTACATTACTGGCTCCATGCTCCGGCATAAATTCTATGTAATCTCCCTCTCAACTTGTCCCCTTTTTCCCTGTCCCCCTCCCCCCCTTGGGACATCTCTTTTTCATGTTCTAACGTGACAGATTGAAACTGCTCCATCCGTTTGTCAAACATTTCTTAAACAATGCTTGATGTATCCACCCACTTTCACCCTCCACTTCCATTCTTATGACAGATCATCACCTGCAACTGTTAAACTGTTATGCTGTATGTTGTGTAGGCTGTAGTGGGGTAGCCCATATGGGGTACAACCTAATTAGGGTTAGCACTTGTACCCACATTGTTTCTAGTTCATTCATTCTCGCTTAGTCTTCGTTCATTGGCCGAAGTGAACTGTGACTTGTGCACTGCACGTGACCTTGTCTTCGGGGCCCAAACATACTTCGTGCGAACTTTGCCGAACCTGGACATGGCGTTAGTTCTGGCTCTGGTTACTCTGGCAGACACCATGTTTGTTACTAGAGAAGGGTCTCGCACTCCAATTAGTTGAGAAAGCTTGCTACTTGACTAGCAATACGCGTCGTCTTCATTGCTTGTGATCAAGTATAGCATTCCCCGTCGTTTAGATCATTATGATACATAAGATTCTAGCATGAAGGGGGGGTGGGTGGGAAACTGAACTTGGAAATTCGAAAATGAAAACGTGGGTGAGACCAAATGGCCGAAACCCCTTCTTTTGTAGTCGGAGAAGGGCAAGTAGCGCTTCGACGATGGCTTTTTGTGCTACGTACAAGCTGTTGCGCTTTTACAAAGTCATTTTAGAGATTGTAACACTTTCGAAAATATACATTTAGTTTAGGGTGAGAATTGTATCAAAGTACACGCATATGGTGTCAGAGATAGCAGGTAGCAGGATAGAACACGAAAGGGGGTTTGCACTAGCAGGCAGTTGAGTACATATAGGAAACCCTAAATTAGGCTGTACTCGCTATAGAGTAACCCACTGCAGGCTAGACAAAGACAACATTCTGACACACCCCCATAGCCAAAGTGGGGTGTAATCAGCACAATAAGCAGGCAGAGCAATAGTTCACAATGATAAGCAAAGCTAGAGGCTATCACAGAGGGCAAGTGAGGAGGAGGAGAGACTGTGGGGGCGAGAAGATGGGAGGCGGCGGCTGAAGCTGCAGACACACTGTATCGGCTGGCTCAGTGGCTACCGAAGCAATGGCCCGGACTTCAGGAGTAACTGGCTCCGCGGCTACGCCGAGCGGCTGGAGCAACTGACCCATGGGCGACTGGCGACTACCGGAGATTGTAGCCTCCGGACTACTGGCGCTGCGGACGACAAGACGGCTGCCTCCACTCAACCTCCCCCAGCTGTCCCACACCCCTTTCACACACCCCCTGCTGTTCCCCTAGCACTGCTGACACGCCACCCCCCTAGTACCACTCCAACGACTCCCACACATCCACCCCCCTTCAGCGGCAGCTGCAGCAGTGGGAGACGGAGGAGGAGGAGGAGGAGCAGGGGACGGCGCACACACCCATCACCCCCATGCTCGCCACCCCCAAACCCTAACACAGGCAGCACGGGGCGGGAGCGGGTGCACGCACGGCAGCGCAGGTGCGCGCGGGCCTGCCGCAGGCTGAACGGGCCGCGCATGGGCCTGGCGCAGGCCGTACGGGCCGCGCGCGGGCTGAACGGGCCGCGCATGGGCCTGGCGCAGGTCATACGGGCCGCGCGCGGGCTGTACGGGTCGCGCGCGGGCCTGGCGCAGGTCGTACGGGCCGCGCGCGGGCTGTACGGGCCGCGCGCGGGCCTGGCGCAGGCCGTACGGGCCGCGCGCGAGCTATACGGGCCGCGCGCGGGCCTGGCGCAGGTCGTACGGGCCGCGCGCAGGCTGTACGGGCCGCGCGCGGGTCCTAGGGGCGCTTCGACGGGTGACGGGGGGCGACGCGCAGGTCCCCGGGGGCGCTTCGACGGAGGACGGGGGGGCGACGCGCTGGTCGACGGTGCAGGAAACCGCCGCGCTCGACGGAGCGCACAGTGGGCAGAAAACCGCCATGCGCCCCGAGCGCGTGGCGGGAAGAAAAAACGTCGCGCGCCACGGGGCGCGCGACAGACAGGACAGCAGCGGAAGCTAACGGTGAGCCCACAGGCAAGGAGCGTAACCGCTCTGATAGCATGTCAGAGATAGCAGGTAGAAAGATAGAACACGAAAGGGGGTTTGCACTAGTAGGCAGTTGAGTACATATTGGAAACCCTAAATTGGGCTGTACTCGCTATAGAGTATCCCACTGCAGGCTAGACAAATACAACATTCTGACATATGGTAATTGCATGTGTTTTTTGTATGGGAGAGTACCATTTTAACCCCATATACTGATGTATTGTCCCTCCCAGTTAGTTGCCAGAAACTGCTCTGTACTCACTGTTGCAAATCACCCTGCTTCTGCAGAACGTGTACCAACATTCACGCTTCATACCGTATTGTTGACTTGTACGATTGCATCCGTTCATGTCGGTACTGTTCAATCATACAATCCAATATTCAAGGGTGATTTTATCCAATATTTGAGTCGTTTGTTGGACCACGTTTCCTAACTTTCTAACGGGTGCTCCATATAGTGTCTCGGAATCACCCTTGAAACTATATCTCTTATACGGTAAGAGAAACCAAGTACACTGGGTTGCTACACAACCCGAAATGAGTCTTCTTACAACATAGGACTTCGGTGCTTGACTTCGCAGCTTCTGCTACGACCCATGCACCAAGTCTTGCTGTCGATCTGCACTTTTAGTTTTTTCGCTGGAAATTAGTAGAGTTACTACTTTGCAAGCTTTCCCGCGAATGGGATTGCTGTTGCCGTCATTTCACCTGCCCGTAGGCGTCTGTGAACCACATAGTACTACAAAAGCGAGGAACCGATGGCGAGGAGGGGAGATGGTGTCCGTCAGGTATCACGCGTGAGAAAAAAAGTAGAGATGTAGTGCTAATGTGTCACACAGCGGCCAATGAAAAGCAGCAGTCTGGGGGGAAAAGGGATCAGGCACAGAATCGTCGAGCAAGCGGCGGAATGTAATGTTGAATGGATTCCGGGCCGAACCGACGTGGAGTCGAATCGACGGATGTCTTGCACCGCGTCGAGTCGCAGCAGGAATTAGGGCCTCTGATTCGGAACTTACCAGAATCAGCTCACGAGTCGTCGTGAGGGAACCTGAAGTTTTCAAGCAAGCAACGCGCCACTTATCACTCCCCACGACCTATTTACAGCAGATCAGAGCAAATTGGCTCATTATCATTCGCTTTCGCCAAAGTTGCCTTTGCCTGACCCTTGTTTTTTCTCGATGGAAACTCTTCCCGCTCCTCACGTTGCGCCTCAAGCGCAAGCTCCGTCGCAACCCTATGTTGTCGTGGGCCAGAAGTACTGCGTACCGTACGAGACTACGCTTGTGATGACGGAGAAGATGTTCTCGATTAGGGATAAAAAAGAGATTCGTGATACCAAGGGAAATCTGCTCTTCAATGTCGCAGACAGGCGAGAAATCCGATCCTGTTTCCTGGCGCTCTCAATGCTTCTTGTACCTCGTTGTCCCGTTACCCCGTGACGCGCTTCTACCTCGTTTTCCCGTTACCCCATGACGCGCTTGTACCTCGTTTTCCCGCCACTTTTGCGCCTCCCGTCAAAATTTGAGGCGCTTTGTACCTCTTTTGACAGCTTTGTACCTCTTTGTACCGATTTGTACCTCTTTTTCTCGTCACCTTTGAGGCGCTTGCACCTCGTATTCCCGTCACCAGGTGGCACTAGACTTTCTTCTCCTCGTCCCTGTCCATGGTCCCGGCCTCCCTGTGTCATTTTTTAGCATGTGCTAGTAGTACGAGCCACCCTATATTCATAATTCTCCTCTCATCTTCTCTCCACTTTACTATAAATCCCATTCTCCCATCTCTTTTCGATCTACAATTCTCAAACAACCAGGCTGCTATCAATTCCCAGCAAGACCGAGATTCTGGACGCTACAGGTGCACCGGTGTGCATGCTAGTAGGCAAGGTGTTTAGTCTGCACAACACCACCTACCTCTGCCCGGGAAACAGCACAGACACCAACGCTCACCTGCTTATGGCCAAGAAAGTCATCTTCACGTTTTGCCCCGTTCTCCAGGTGAGCTCGAGCTGCCTTCTTGGCAGTTTCATCAGTTCTTGTTTTGGATTATTCGCGTGTTTTTCTATATAGTTATTATCCCATGCATCCGCCCAGCCCCCTTCCTAGCTCCCTCTTTTTTTTTTTTTTTGCATCACCTACGTTTTGTGGTCCTATTTCACTCTTTTACGACGTTGCAGGTGTTTTTACAGGGGAATAATTCGGACCAGCCAGACATTACTCTTTCTGGATCGTTTTTTGAACATGAGTTCAAGGTTAGAAGTTTTCCCAACCCAACCCCTTTTTCACATAGCCCCCACCTCCCCCACCTCCTTTTCTTCCATTCCCATTCGTTAAAGGTTATATTTGTTGCATGCCTTCGTCAAAACCCACTTAAGTGTTCCGTTTCTGCTTCCACCCAAAACTCAAAACCCTACTAATCTTATGCCAGGTCACCACCAGCAGTGGCATCCTATTGGCCGAAGTAGGTCGCGACTTGTTCACTGCAAGGGACCTTGTGTGTCACACCCAGACGTACTATGTGCGAATCTTGCCAAATGTGGACATGGCGTTGATTCTGGCTCTGGTTAATCTGGCCGACTCTATCTTTGTTGACCAAAAAGGGTCTGGCGTTCACGTTGGCGTCCGTGTTGGTTCGTCACGTTAACCCCCTATGTATAGGTGTATGTGGATCATGAATCCCCAAATCAGGTTGTGGAGAGGAGGGGGAGGGGAGAGGGGAGAGGGGAGGAGGGGGGTTACTGGGGGGGCTTGGTGAGTTCGGGGGAATTGGGAGGGGAGGGGGCTCTATATAATAGCAAGCTTCTAGAAGCACTTCTTGAAATTCAGATGAGTTAAAAAAAAGCCCAATTGCTGCCTCTAACCAACTTCAGTTGGCTTCAAATCTCACGTGTTGTGCGATGGGCTTGATGGCCAGAATAACGAGTGTGAAAGTTGTCGTGTTGGATTATGTCACAGCGACCGTGTAACGCACAGACATGTGAAGTAGCTACACTTCCGTACCCTCTTATAGTGTGACTTACCGTAGCTTCAAATGATGCATTCTGTCAATATCGTATTTCGCCGCGCTCGATCGCCCTGTGAACTTCTTTCAGAGCCGAGCCAAGGTGAGTTTACTTTGCACAGTAAACAAACGCATAGCACCGTAGGAAAACGTGTCTTCACACCACTCTGCACTATGCTCGTCTGATTTAGGGCGTGTAACTTTTTCCGTTTTGGTCAAATGTCCGGACGGAGCCCTCAAAACGTCCGAACAGAGCTCCGTCCGGACGTTTGGGACTCAGGTCCGGACGACAGCCCGTCCGGACCACAAATGTGGAACTTTTTGGGAAAACGATTTTTTTCAAGATGTAACAGGCATTACCGTACTGCAATCGTGAGGGTTCGCCCCCCAAAAATAGCGGCGAGATATTGGGTGCGATTTTCAACAAATCGTGCGCCAATGACAGCGCAGAAAAATCGGACAGTCCAATATGCCGTTCGGACGATGTCAGCAAGGTAGTCCGGACCAAATTTTGACAGAAAAGTGTCAGACATGGTCCGGACGGTGGCGACGTCGCAGGGCGTCTCGCGAATCCCTAACCGAGGTGCTGCGAAATTAGTTACCCTACAAAGGTCCGCCTACAAATGCATAAGGGCGTGTAACTTTTTCACATTTCATCTGGTGCTTCCTCTTCCTTCCACGTGGCACATTTTAACCAGGCGGAACAGCGTTAGGCCTTGCATGGTCAATTCGATCTATCTTCTTGCGAAGGTTGGACTAGGGTTGAACGTTTGTCGAGCTGGTAAAAAATTTAGTTTCCTCGATACAGTCTTACGGATTTCTTATTTCGAAGTCCTGAAACGTGCTGACGTGATGGCTGACGCTTCCAGGTGGCGCTTAGAGTCAGATGTCGACCGAGCCGCCATCTCTGTCCCCCACCCCGCGCCTCGGGCGAAGACGGTGGCGCTCGGCTGGTCATTCCGGCGGAAATCCATGGCTCAGGTTTGCCATCACAGCGAGTGATGCTTTCGTCAGGCACTTGGGTCCGTAAAGGCAGCGTGAGCCTCGTACCATTCTTTCCGAGTCTTCGTCAACCCTCCGTTACACGCGCACTCGGTGGAAGTGCTCTTGTGTGTCTGGACCGTGTCCAATTTCTGTTTGTTACAAACTCGGAAGGTTCTTTCGGAAAGACGAAAGGAAAGGCGGAAGAATGGAGTCGCAGATGCAAGTGCCGCGGGTGCAGCCGTACGTGGTGGTTGGATCACAGTACTGCGCACCGTACGAGACTGTTCTTGTAATGAAGGACAAGATATTCTCCGTCCGAGACGCCAAGGAAGTGCGTGATGCCAACAACCAGCTGCAATTCAGGATCGCTGATAAGTAAGCTGGTCATCAGTTGGCAAGATATAAGACCTCGGGATGTTTTGATCTGAGCCACCTCTATATAGGCGCATAACATAATGTTTTTCAAAGAAATCAGGTTATGGCGCAAGTCCATGTTCAGAATCTCTTTTTGTTTCCCAACCCACCGCTTTTCTCCACGCAGACTTCTTTCCATCCGCGACAGAACCACCATTCAGAACGCCATGGGCGAGTCTGTGTGCACCATAGTTAGCAAGCTGCTTTCCCTGCGTGACACAGCGTACCTTTGCCCAGGGAACAGCACGAATACGGACAACTATCTGCTCAAGGCCAGAAAGTCCATTCTGAGCTTTAAGCCAGTGCTGAAGGTGAGTTTTTTTCGAAATTCCTGTTTGTCTTTGCTTCCCGGTCATCCCGTGTTTGTTTGGCTGGCTTTCTGTATTTGTTTTCATTGTTTTTGCTTTCCTTTTTTTCCATTCCAATCAACCTGTTTTGTCTGCTGATGGCAGGGTCCAAGTTTCTAAACATCTGGAGTGCGCGTTCCTGCGTTCTTGTGTTGTTACCTTTCATGCAGGCATTTCTAAGAGGCAATGCTTCCGACAGTCCAGACATATACTTAAGCGGCTCAATACTCAAGCATAATTTTAAGGTGTGTGATTTTCAACCCCTTGTTCTATAGAAAGGGTCTCATGTTTTATTCCCCAGGTCGACTCTCTTAGCGCATGTAGTCAACCACAACCCCTTGTTCTATAGAAAGGGTCTCATGTTTTATTCCCCAGGTCGACTCTCTTAGCGCATGTAGTCAACCACAACCCTTAGTTGCTTGAACCTTGGCCGGCCCACACGCACAAATATACTATGACAGCAGGCAGGAAGCCACCTGCATTTGCCATGTCACGTGTGAATGTTTACGAATGACCCTGAATTACCTTGAATGTTTCCTCTGCCTCGCCTTCATCCCCTCTGTTTTCAGATCACTACCAACAGTGGAATCTTGCTGGCTGAGGTCAATCAAAACCTGTTGGATGCAAGGAAATAGATTTTCGATGCACAGACGTACTTCATCCGAATCATGCCAAACGTGGACATGGCGCTCATTCTTGCTCTTGTAGCATTGGCGGATGCTCTGTTAGTGGACAAAGACGACTGAATTCCTTCTGAGGTACACCATGTTAAGATACATCCATCTTTTCCCCACATCTGGCATGATATCAATGTGCCAGACATGAACATGCATGTAGTCTAGCCCTTGTACATTTTTCTAAACGGGTGTTTCTGTACAGATAACTAGTCGCTTCTTTCTGGCCTGGAATGGGGAAGACTTCAATGGAATACCACTTGCAGAGGGTATGAAAGTTATGGTTCTCCGTAGGAAATGGTTGCTTTGTTGGCGCAAGACATTCGATTCAACTGTTGTTTTCAATAGCACTAGATTTGAGAACACTTCGTTTTAGCTCACATGCAACCACATACATCAACCAACACAACAGCCTTGTCTAAATATCACATGGTCGGGCAAGGAAACGAGGTCCTAGCTTTCTACTTCTTCCTCCTCCCCTTGGTCCTCGTTGCCTTGTGCAAGAAGAGAATGGGCCTGGACCCTGGTGCTGTCCCCTCCAACACTTGGAACATTGTCCTTTTCAATGCTGGGGTTACGCAACAGTGTAGCGGAAAGAATGAAAGCGGGTTTGCCATCCCCTTGTCACTGACAAGCAATAAGTAGGGCTGAAGTGGAATGAGAATGCTGGTAAGGGTGGCGGAGGAAAGAGAACAGCGGTGAGGTGAAGGAAGTGGATATATTACGACATCTTGAAAGAAAAAACATTTCACGCCTAACAGGCCAGGGAGGTACAAGTTGGTATGCCCATATCCCCTCGCCCCATACTCCTTACTGCATGCTTCGAGTGCCAACAGCTGCAGCATTGACAACACTCACTTAAAGCTCGTTATTGCATGCTTCGGTTTCCCAGAGCTGCAGCAGTGACAGCACTTACCTCATACTCGTTATTGCATGCTATGGATGGTGCTGCAGGGAGAATCGCACCTTTTGAGGCAATTCGCTAGTCGCTTCGCTTCGTCTCAATTTTCTCTCCAGTTTGTCTGCTCACAACGGAACCGGCAGCTGGTGTAGAGAGCTTCAGCTTCAGTGATGGAGAAAAGGAGAGGTGAGGACCGTGTGTGAGGGAGGAAAGTAGGGGAGTGTTGGGGAGGGAGAGTAGGGGAGCGGAGGGGCGGTGTAAGTGGGCAGAGGGGAGTGCAACAGGTGGAGAACAGCATCAATGCGAGATCGAATGGTGATGGATGCATGGCGGTCGAGAGGTGTGCGTTGAATGTTGATGATGACGAGGTGGGTTGCCAGGCGAGGGGGCTTGTTGGATGGCGGCACCTGTTGGGGTTGAGGGGAGAGAGGGAGGGAGGCAGGGAGGGAGGGAGGGTTAGTGGGCAGGGGGAGGTGCAGCAGGCAGGATAAAACGGCATCAATGCAAGCTCGGATGGTGATGGGTGCATGGCGGTCGAGGGTGGTGCGCTGGAGGTCGATGATGACCTGGTGGGTGGCCAGGGGGGAGAGCTTGCTGGCTGGTGGCACCTGGTGGAGAGAGGGGAGAGAATGAAGTGATGCCACTTTTGAAGCGACTCAGGGGAGAGAGGAGTGGGCAATCATCCAATTATGCTGCCCCAAATACCTCCTTCCCTTCCAACTTTCTCACGCTAGATTTCTTCTATGCCCAGCTTCTTCTATGCGTGATTGAATAGCGTCTTCCAGCTTATTGTCTTATGCACGATACAGATCGCGTTGAAGTGGCTCAAAATTGTGGCAGTTCAGACAAACGGACCTGAATGTCACTCACGAGAACTCTCAAACGATAACTCAAACGGACCTTGAAGGATGAGCCAATGCAGAGTGCCACGTGTGCGCCCATGCTGGCTTCTCTAGCTTTCCTCAACTCCTCATCGTCTATCCTCTCCCCGAAATGCACTATCGGATTCTCCAACTCGCCCCCGCACACGCCTCTACTATCGCCATTCTCCTTTCCTCCCTCCTCCTCCCCTCCCTCCACTTCCTGCTCTTCCTCCCCACTCTTTTTCTCCTCAAACTGCTCCTCCTCCCGTGCTCCCCTGCCCTCACACTCTCTTCTCACTTCATCCTCCTCCCCTCCCTCCCTCTGCTGCTTCTCTTCCGCTTCTCGCCATCTCCTTGCACCCCCCTCGTTGTCCATCCGTGCATCATCACCCTCTTTATCCTCATGATCACGAAGCACTACTCGAGGAGTGCCTTGTAAAGTCGCCACTCCAGGTTCATGCCACTTCCTCCGCTCACCCAAAAGCACCTCCTGGTTCTCCTCTTTCACACCGCCCCCTCCTCCTGTGGACACCTGAGCTCGCACTTTTGCACAACTTCTTGGCTTCCAAACAGGATTCTGAACAGAATTTTGAGCAGAATTCTGAACACGTGGCACCTTCTGCTGCTTATCCTCCTCTTCCTCCTCTTCCACCTCCACCCCGTCCCTCCCGTTACACCTGGCTAACACATCAACAGCAGCGTGAGCTGATTTAGCATCATCAACACCAGCAGCACTGGCACATGCAGCAGCACCAGCGCCAGCCACAGCCATGGGGGTACACAGCCTTCCCGTCTTGTGGCGGTGGTGGGTGGGAGGACCCTGTGACTGCAGTGACAGCAGAAGCACCAGCTGCACCATCATCAGCACGTGCAGCACCAGCCACAGCCACAGCAGTGCACAGCCGTCCGGTCTTGTGGCGATGGTAGGAGGACCCTCTAGCCGCAGTGACATCAAATGGACACAGGTACTTGGCACCACACTCCGGTGGTAAGACGGCCCTCTAGCCGCAGTGACATCAAATGGACGCACGTGCTTCGCTTCGCCCCACACTCTTTGCACCTCTCCCGGTACACCGACCCATGCAGCTCAGATAGCCGGTCGGATGAGATTCCATCTCTGGCAGAATAAGATTGGGAAGGGCAGATTGGAAAGGAGTTCGGAAGCAGGAAGGGACAAAACGATAAGAGGGAGCAGGTACTTGGAGGATAGTGAGAGGGAAGTGAGAGGGAAGTGAGAGGGAAGTGAAAGGGAAGTAAAAGCGAAGTGAGAGGAAAGATAGACGGAAGTGAAAGGGAAGAGAGAGGGAAGTGAAAGGGAAGTAAGAGGAGTAAGAGGGAAGTGAGAGGGAAGTAAGAGGAAAGGTACCCTGCCCCACCTTCCCGGCATCTCTCCCAGTGTGCACCATCCCAGCCCCCACTTGTACTCCCCACCGCAACCACCTTGCAACACCCCCTACCTATCTATCTGCCTGCACCCACCCTTCTGCTGCAACCACCGTTCTGAGTCACCATGTGCTGCACCATTTGCTCCACTATCCCAGCCCGCACGATCAATGCCACCACCACTCACCACCGCTCACCACCACCACCGCTGCCACCCCAGCTTGTTTTATAACATTGCCAGAGTAGCTTTCAAACCTCAACCCACCGTTCTGAGTCATCACGTGCTACACCACCCCAGCCCCAACCATCGCTGCCACCGCCATGTGCCCCAGCATGGGGGAAGCTTCCTTCCTCGTACTTTCTCCCCATGGCCACCGCAGCTTCCTCCCACCGTCCCTCCCCCTGCAGCGTCCACACGCCCTTGGGCCCTCTAAAGTCCGGAATGCCCGCTGCTGTGCTCAGCCCCGCCCCACTGTGAACCACCACGCCCCCTCTCATTCTTTTCGCCCCTGCCTCTGCTTCTGCTTCTGCTGCAACTGCTTCTGCTTCTGCTGCAACTGCTTCTGCTTTTGCTGCAACTGCTTCTGCTTCTGCTGCAACATCTTCTGCTTCTGCTGCAACTGCTTCTGCTTCTGCTGCAACTGCTTCTGCGCCTGCTGCAACTGCTTCTGCTTCTGCTGCAACTGCTTCTGCGCCTGCTGCAACTGCTTCTGCTTCTGCTGCAACTGCTTCTGCGCCTGCTGCAACTGCTTCTGCGCCTGCTGCATCCGCTGCTGCTATTTGGCTGTTGTCCCCCGCTAGTCCAAATCGCTGGCACTCCAACATCAGCCGCAGCAGCTGCAGAATCTTCGCCTCTACTTGCTCCAGAGGCTCCTCCTCCTGTAGAACAAGGGGAGAGGGGGGAGGGAAGGGAGAATGGGGTGAGAGGAGAGGGGGAAGGAGGGTGAGTGCGGAGGGGACTACGGGTGGGGCACCTCAGGACTCTTCTGAAGAAGAGAAAATACATGTTCTAACTTTCCTATGTGTCCTCCTGTGGAGCTAGCGGAAGAGGAAGGTGAGCGTGGGGCCAGGGAGGAAGGCGGGTAAGCGGGGGGGCATGGGGGGAGGCGGGTGAGCGGGGGGCCATGGGGGGAGGCGGGTGAGCGGGGGGCCATGGGGGGAGGCGGGTGAGCGGGAGAGTAGACTTGTGGCGCCTCAAAAGAGCTACAGAAATTTCCCTTTCACTTGCTCAGGGCGATCCTCCTCCTATGGGGATGGCGCAACGGGGGATGGCGCAACAGGGGATGGCACAACGGGGGATGGCGCAACAGGGGATGGCGCAACGGGGGATGGCGCAACGGGGGATGGCCCGGATGGGGGAGAGCCTGGAAGGTGAAGGGGGGTAGAGGGCGTGGGGAGTGGAGGGGAGAGAGGGTGCTGATGGGGGAAAGTGCGGCGGACGAATCTTGAGTCGACTCTATAGTGGAAGGTGCAGGGGAAGAGATGGCTGTTTTTTAAGTCGACTCAAAGCGGGAGCAGAGAGGAGAAGAGGGCCGATGGGGGAAAGCGGGGCGGACGGGGCTTCAGGGGCTGTGCGGTGAGCCAAGGACGCAACCACCACCTTCCACGCGCATCCTGTAGCTCTTCCCACTCACACAACCACAATCCCCCCTTCTCAACCCCACCACCCCCCTCTGGGTCAGCACCACCACAAGCACCCTTGGTAAAAAAGAGTTGAGATGCCCCGAAGCAATTATCTACCCTGAAAGATAGCAGCTGTTGACATTTCGAAGCGGAAAAGAAAAAAACCAACCTCTTGCAACTGCTCTTTCTTCTGTTGCTGCCGCTCCTTCGGTTTCTCCAACGACTGAGAGTTCTGCAAGAACGTAACAAGAAAGCATACTGCACCAAAATGTTTCTGACCCAAATCTGACCAGCACACTAATCTGGCCCAAAGCTACCCTGGAAGTCACCCCAAAGCTACTGGCAGTGCAACAAGTTGACGTTTCTGCGAAGCACAGCACGGCGCAACGAGCCAGGACACCCCCAGCCTCCTCCCCGCAACGTTTATTTTGATTATTATGATTAAATTGACTCTGAACATTTTCTCCAATGCGTGAGATGAGAAAACCGCAGCGACAGGACACCCCCAGCCTCCTCCCCGTCCCCCCGGGCCTTCCCTCCGCTTTCCCCACCCTAAAGCAGCAACTGCCAATGCGACATGTGGCGAAAGCTCGTTGCATTGGCGAATGCTCGAGCGACGGCATGCGACACCATGTGACGCCATGCGACCTTCTCACCTCGCGTGCGATTTGACCATTGGCTTCCAGCAGGCGACTCTCCTCGCCGCTCCTCGCGCTCTCCGGGTGTCTTGGTGGGAACTTCAGGGTTATCCCCCGAGGGTGACCTGGGGGTATCCCATGCTCTCGAAGGGATTTTTGCTTCGAGATTTTTGGGACGGTGCCGCGCGCACCGCCTTCCGCACGCGCCGTTCCTCCGCCTCCGCAACCGACTCTGCCGCCCATTCCCGCTTCCGCTTCTCGCGCTCGCTCCATTGACGGTTTGCAGTCGGCTAGCAGTCAATTAGCAGTCAGTTAGCAGTCGGCTAGCAGTCAATCAGCTAGCAGTCGTTCCTCCGCATCCGCTGGCGACTTCGCCGCCCATTTCCGCTTTCGCGATCGCTCTCCATTGGCGGTTCGCAGTCGTTTCGCACTCGGCTGGCAGTCAGATAGCAGTCGGCTGGCAGTCGGTTAGCAGTCGGTTAGCAGTCCGTTTTCTAACCCTGCGATCAGTGGAGGGGTTGAGACTTATATCGCATAAGATTCAAAATTTTGAAATACACCAGAGCCAACTCTCATCCGTGTAGCGTCTTGCACTGACACCAAGAACCGTTGGTGGGTTTATGTAAGGAAAGTTCCTTTTCCTTACTTCGCGTCCCTACTCACCGCGTACACCACTGTTCCCGCCAACAGCACCCAACAGTAATCCGTTACCACTCGCGACATTCGCCTCGACACTGTTCCCGCCACTGTTCACGACGCGATCCAACCTCACGGTTCGGTTGGTAACCCGCGCTCCGGACCTCCGCCTCGCCACTTCCCAACCTCGGCGCCAGGCCCGTCGCGCACCCCAATTTCTACGCATTACCGTTACCACTGTAGTTTCGCTATATATTCTTCGCTCATGCCTTCGCTCATTGTACTTTTTCTTCGATAGTGCAATTCTCGCTCGCTCACTCAATTGCACTCGTAACACTTGGTATTCAGAGCCTACGATCTCTTCTCGGACCGCACCCACACCTTCGCTGCCCCACTATCTCCATTTTGGGGGGGGGGTAGACGTCTCTCAGCGACACAGCACCGCCGCTCGTAGTGCTTGTTAGAATCTAGCAGCAGGAATGATTGAACTATGAAAGAATGAGGTACAAATATGAAACCCTAATGTGGGCTGTACCCCATATTGGCTACCCCACTACAGCCTAAGCATATGTAGCATATATATCATTTGACACACCCCCATAGGCAAAGTGGGGGAGAGCAAGGGGTCACAAGACCAGTCAAGAGAAGCAGAGCAAGCTCAGGGTGGATCACAACGTCACCACACACACTGAGAACAAGCAAAGGGCCACAAGGCCAGTTCACATGCAGAGGTATATATGCAACAACAACAGCACAGTGGTCTCTACCTAGCAGAGCAAGCAAGCAGGTATATATATAGATCACAGTACAAACAAAGTCTACAGCAAGTGAGAAAAAGTGGGCACAAGGCCTAACAAAGTGCAGAAACGCTGATAATCACCAGACGGAAGTGCCTTGGTGAATATATCAGCGGTGTTGGCCTGAGTGGCCACGTAACGCAGACGAAGCTGACCACGCTGCTGCAGCTCTCGAGCCAGGAAGTAACGCAGAGCGATGTGCTTCGTTCTGTGCTCCAGTCTGTGCTCCTCACACAAGGCAATGGCAGCCTTGTTGTCGACGTACAGCACTGGAGGAGAACGAGGCCGCTCTCCCAAGTCGGTCAGCAGGTAGGTCAGCCAGCGTAGCTCCTGTGCAGCCATGGCTGTGGCGTAGATCTCAGCCTCACAACTGGAGCTGAGAACAGAAGACAAGCGAGTAGAACGCCAAGAAATTGAACCAGAGCTAAGGCTGAAGGTGTAACCCTGTGACGACCACTGAGTAGCCTGGTCGTCAACCCAAGAAGCGTCTGAGTGCCCAGTGAGAACAACTGAGCTCCTCCCTCCAAGCACGAGCCCCATGCCTGACGTACTGCACAAGTAGCGCAGTACCCTCTTAGCAGCATCCATGTGCACCTTTCGGTGCCGACCAGGAGCCACGTAGCGAGCCAGAAGGCCAAGAGGGTACGCGAGGTCAGGACGAGTGCAAGTCATCAGGTACATGAGGCAACCTACTAGCTCTGGGTAAGGACCACTCGGCTCTACGGACTCGTCCGAAGGTGGAGCTGAGAGCGAGTGACCTGTAGCCAGAGGAGTGGCCTGTGCTGAGGACCAGGTGAAGCCGAAGCGCTGAAGGACCTGCTGCACCATGTGTGACTGAGTCAGTGTGATGGTGCGGCGTGCTCTGTCCCGGGTGATCCGCAAGCCGAGATAGCTTGTCAGCTCACCCAGGTCTGTGCACGTGTGTCTCTTCTGTGGCTCGGACTTCACGTGGGCGAGAGCCTCAGTGTCAGCAGTGGCAAAGACCAAGTCGTCGACGTACACGAGGATGTAGAACGGCGGCAGCGACGTGTCGTTGCGCATAAACAGCGACGGGTCAGCAGTCGACGGAGCAAACCCAAGGGCCGCAAGTGTAGTCCTCAGTGTGTCGTGCCACTCACGTGGTGCCTGGCGGAGACCGTAGACTGGCCGCCGGAGGCTCCACTGGGTACCAGGAGGGAACGACCCAGTGAAGCCAGGAGGGCGGCGCAGCCAGATCTCCTCGTGCAGGCCGCCCTGTTAGAAAGCTGTGCTGAAGTCAAGAGAGTGAAGCTCGTAGTCACGCTGAGTGGCGACGTGCAGCAGCACCCGAAGAGTGGTCATCTTCGGGGTGGGGGAGAAGGTCTGAAAGAAGTCTACTCCCTCTCGCTGACTGAAGCCTCGAGCAACGTAACGAGCCTTGAAGACAGTCGGAGAACCTGGCGGCCGCTTCACCCTGAAAATCCACATGCCACTGACGATGTTCGCCCCAGGAGGGGGAACCTCGTCGACGTAGGTGCCTGTGGAATTCCAGGATGCCATCTCTGCGTCCATGGCTGTCTGCCACTGAGAGGAGTACTCACCCGCGATTGCCTCAGCGTAAGAGTGCGAGGTCGGGATGTCTAGAGCATCCGGGTCTCCCTCAGGGGCAAGCAACATGGACACGAGGTGAGGCGCAGCGGCTGCAAGACACTCAAGGTCCTCCTGCCTGTCCTCAAGGACGTCTGTGCCAAGAGCACACTCACCCCCGACGGACGGAGGACAGATAGACTCAGACTCAGCAACAAGACTAGCGGCGTAGTCTAGGCGACAGGCAGCAGCAAAGTCAACCAGCTCAGCAACAAAGGCAGACGCAGCAGCAGACTCAAACGACGGGTCAGTGACAACTGTGGCTAGCAGACGCGTGACAGTAGAGTGAGCGGCACGGGTGCGGTCAGACTCAGGCTCAGGAACGGTAGGCAGAGAAGACGCAGGAGGGGACGGCAGGGGGACACGCTGCGGAGGAGAGGAAGGACGACGAACTACGAGGTGGGTGCCGGGGACAGTCGGCTGACGCGAACGAGGAACACGACGACCGGAACTACTAGAACGGACAGGCGAGACAGGACGCGATGCAGGCTCACGACGCTCAGTAAAACCCCCTGTCTGCTCAGTGTAAGCAGAAGGAGCAGGCAGCGGTGAGCCAGGCTGTAACGGAAGACCAGTAGACGAAGGGAGACTAAGAACCTGGCGAAGCACAGAGTCAGGCGGTGGCTGAGAAGACGGAGACGGTGGAGCGAAGAACAGGCGCGGCTGTGTAGTGCCACCAGCACCAGCAGCTCCAGCACCCCCAACAGCTCCAGCACCTCCAGCAGCTCCAGAACCCTCAGCGCCAGCTCCTCCAGGACCAGCTCCACCAGCAGCAGCACCCCCAGAACCAGCACCTCTAGTCCCAGGGTCTCCAGCCTCAGTGTCTCCAGCAGCAACACCCCCAGACCCAGGGTCTCCAGCAGCAGCACCCTCAGGCTCAGTAGCACCTCCAGCCCCCGCAGCTCCAGTACCTCCAGTACGAGCACCTCCGGGACCAGCACCACTCCCAGCTCCAGTGACGACAGCAGAAACACCTCCAGCGGCAGAGCCCTGAGCTCCAGAAACGCGACCCTGACGGCGACCGTACCAGTCGTGCAGCTGCTGTGAGGTGAGAGGCACACGCGGACGAAGGCGGCTACTCCAGGGAGACCGCACAACAGCAGGCTCAGAACTCTCAGCGCCAGCACCCGCAGCAGGTCCAGAACCTCCAGCGCCAGCACCCGCAGCAGCTCCAGAACCTCCAGCGCCAGCACCCGCAGCAACTCCAGAACCTCCAGCGCCAGCACCCGCAGCAGCTCCAGAACCTCCAGCGCCAGCACTCGCAGCAGCTCCAGAACCTCCAGTGCCAGCACCCGCAGCAGCTCCAGAACCTCCAGCGCCAGCACCCTCAGCAGCTCCAGAACCTCCAGCTCCAGCACCCTCAGCAGCTCCAGACTCCGCACCCCCAGGCTCCGCACCTCCAGGCTCAGCACCCCCAGGCTCCGCACCCCCAGAAACAGCACCCCGAGCAGGACCACCCTCAGCAGGACCTGAGTCACCAGTGACCTCAACCGGCACAGTCAAGGGAGGAGGGTCTACCTGAGACACACCTGAAGGAGCAGGACCGGGAGTGGGGA